ACCTCTTTTTGAAACTAGTATGTACCAATTTTCTGTTTATCTCACTACGTTAACTTACTGTAATGAATGATTGAGTCTGTAATCGCCTCCATTTTTCACATTTAAAAGTCAATGTTTGCTTGTTTCTTTCGCCTCAAAATCATCTCAAAATATATAGTGCTTTTGAGGATATCAGAAAAAAACTCATAAATATGTAATCGATCATTTCCCGCCAATATTTCTGTTTACAGTCACAGCCAGTTTTCCTGAAGCAAAGCTGCAAGCCTTCAATTGACAGTATTATCCAACTTCAGTTTCTCTCTCTTTAGCTAATACAAATGACAATAAAAAGCGAACTGAAAAAAAACTATGCAGCTGTCTAACCCGTTAATTTACAACACTGCCGACTTCTGTTTATTTTTGTATTCTTCACGCGAGAAATTTTTTATGCCGATTTTTCAACATGTCATTTTCCATCTCAACAAAATCTATTATTCTTCTTTAGTTGTCTTTCAAGATTGAGCATAGGTGTTACGTCTTCATTTTCGTCCTAAACTTTTAAACTCAATCGAGCTCATTTGCTTCATTCCTCTTCTGACCTCACTGCATCGGGTTGCTATTTTGCATATTCCAAGCTTATCATGATTAGCCATCTTTTGAACCGATTAGTTCAAAAATATCATTGCTTGAAAATTAGCTTTCCCTTATCTTTCATAACGTTCCGTCACACTGCAGTGATGGAGTTCGTGAATTGCTTGAAAATTAACTTGTGTAAAAGCTTTTTTACAATGTGAATTCTCAGCTATCTTAATTAAGTTCAGCTTCTTCTCAAAGGTACTGATTTTTCTTGTTTCCATCTGCTTCTTGTGCCGCAGATGATAAAACTTTGATATAGATTCTGTTTAAATTATTCAAAGTGAACGTCACTCGACACTATTTTAGAAACAACTATGGGATCAATGAACCGCTTGAGGAAATCAAGATTAGGAAAAAATTGCTAAAAATGGTACTTTCATTCATAAACGAGAGAGTAGTGAAAATATTTCATAATTGAAGTAGTCACCGAGCTAGAGATAGGACCAGGTCATTCTAAATAAATTTTTATTTTTACATTGGCATATGTGAGTGATTTAGTATGAAGGGAGAGTTTTCGCGCACTGCATAATTTCTTTCTTGTCGAGAACTAATACTGCACCAAAGCATGAGGGGAGATGAAATGGTATTAGTGTTGATGAATTATGGTTCAAAGAACTAGTTAATAACCATAAACTTGTCGTACAATTAACTGATACACTGAAATATAAAGTAGCGTGGACGAAATACTCTGAGCATTAAAAGTCAAATTGTGTAGGTATAAATGGTAGAGGACATGAACTTGTCATCAACTGTGGCTTCATCCACCCTTATGAATGCTGTTTTATGTACGAAAAGTTTCTAGATTTCATGTAGTCATCGCAAATAATGACTAATTATAGAATGAGCTGTAATTTACATAAGCAATACTTCTTGGCTATGGCCTGATAGAGGATGTATGTATTCGGTTTTTCTTCCCAAGCTAGCGACATTATACATAACCCTTCATTTTCTCTCCTCTATCCTGCTCCAAATTTTCCTTTGCGTTCATTTCACTTTAAGTAAATCACCGATTATTTTCCTGAATTTGAATCTAATGAAAGAGAATGAGAGAACCCAGAATTTCAGCTTTAATTAAATGACAACGAATGTATGCAAAGAAATTTGTCAATAAATTTAAGCGGCAAAATTTTACTCATGAAATGCTTTATGTCTGAGTTTCCTGCCACTTTCATTTAAGTCAATTGTATGAAACAATTGCAATTCAATTTTGCAGTACTCTTGAATTTTTTCGATACCTTGAATTTTACTAAAAATATTTCCAGCTTACATGAAACAGCCTTCAGTTAATTCAAAAATATCTGAAATTTCAAAAAATACTCTTTTTTGAATGGGTGGAAATGTCGCCTGTGTACCTCAAATAAATGACATTATTTAAGACTACGTATTCAGTGCACAGTAATTTAAAATTGCTTCTTTAATAATTGCTTTCAAGCTATTTTAAAAAATACTGAATCGGAAAAAATTAAATCCAGACCTTAATTTTTTCGTATGAAAATATGTGTAGTTAGAATGAATCAGAATTGTTCAATAATTTAACGCAATTTTAAGTATTCTATTATTTTTATGTATTCTTACATCAGCACACAAATGTCTTGAGACATTCTAGACCTATTTTTGATTTTTTTAAAATTATACTGAATTACCTGAAAAAATTGCATGTATAACCAAAACGTATATATATATTTTGTCCTGAATTAATTAATTTCATTTATCTTGAAACTGTACTTAGAAGTATTATTACTTAAAACGTTACTGCATAATGAATTTTCGAACTGACATATTCATTAAAGGATTTTTATTCGAGCATTTAGCAAGCTATCTGAAAAAGTTTGGTCATTTGTAAATAGAAAGCTAAAAAAAGGATATTTTACGTCTTCTATTATGCTTATCTTTACTATTTCATTAAAACTGCCTATTTCGCCAACGATAACGCTTTAAAGTAATGACCTTTGAACGACTTAAAATGTTAAAAAATGACCAGTGGTCTAGTGGAATGATTTAGCATAACTTCCTTGTTCCCATATTGCTGATAAGATGCAATAATGTCCACTTATGAAGACAGTAGGTGCGCAAGAGTCCATGCGAGTTTGTCTTATCATAAAGGTCTTGAAAGAATTGCGATAACTCTTTTACATAAGCAGTGATGGAATTTAAAAAAAAGAAATTATGAATAATAAACTTTTTATGATATGTCAGTGATTCAGGAGGCATTTATCTACATATCATTTTTATTTTACGATTGGATCAGCTAGTAAAGATAATTCTTGAACTGCAGCTAAAGTTAAAGCTTCTTGTCTGGAATATCTTCAGATCAATGTTTTCAGAGCTGTTATCAATTGATCATCCATAGAAGTATTTCTTACTTTCGCTCCAATTTATTTTTCTAGCCCCAACCACATTTATTAAATTTCATTTCATTTCCCTGCGGTCTAAGCAACTTCACAATTACCAACAATTTTTGGGAACTATCTTAGAGATGTTCAAAGTTATAAAAGTAGCTTAATGAGGTATTATTATTAAATCATTCCTAAGTAGAACTGCCTTTATCTTTTCTAAATAAATGACAATCTTGCATACCAGATCTGGAAAACGAAAAATCCTACTATTCGACTTAATTCTGGCCTCTATTTCTGTCTATGAGTCCAAACAGCTTTTTCCGCAACACATTTAACTCTTTTCCTTGCATTGACAACAAAATGAAAGACTGGTTATTTCTAACAATCTTTATTTTGAAATTGCTTACATGACTACTATTACTTTAGGATATAAGTTAGGAATTTTACATCATTTGAAGACTAAACAAGTTAATACAAGCTAATGTGGTACTTTCATGTTCATATTCTTTCGTACAGATGAGCAGCATGGTTAGTTTTTTATAAAAAATAAATGAAATACATATATATATATAGTGAAGAAATAATATTGTTATATGTCTTGACCAATGTAGTGATAATAATAATACATGAATATAAATGTCATGCCCAGCAGCAGTTCGGAGGTTAGTCTTCCTTCCTGTTTTCTTGATTTTCGCGTTTGACCGTGTTCCAGCACTTGTACTCAACAGCACTCGGTTCTTCAGGTATATATATATATGCAGCAAACATATTCTTTAATTTAAACAATCAAATTAATAAAACTGATGAAAGTGAAGCTTTAATATAAAAAGTAAATGCGATAAAAAAAATTGTTCCATTTTACGAATACCATTAGAAATTGTGAAAGGTTTCGAATGTCAGGGATAAATCTGAAATTAAAAGCAGGCGAAGAAACGCAGACAAGAGCAATTTACTTTCAATATTTTTTGGAAGTGAAGTCTTGTTAGAAGTGAAAACAAAGTAGTGTTTGTCAAGTGATGTGTAATACAAATAAAAATGCAAAAGAAAAAATAAATGGAGCAAGAAGAATGAAGTAAGTGATCAGAATTGTCTGTCGTGCAATATATTTCACTCCAAGTGATAGATATACCGCAGCAAACTTTTTTTCAGTCATGTTATCTATCTAATAGATATACATGTATGTGAGATAAAGTACTATACTACTCATGCTTGCAGTTCCATTATATTTATTATTATTTAATATTGAATTTGAATGTTAAGCATTTAATCGAAAAACGCGCTTTATAATGCCACTACACTCTTTACAACTGTATATGAAAAAAAAACAACTATACTTGTCAGAATTTGAACATTAAATTCGTATACTGCGTTCAAGTTTCAGTCATTTGTCAAAGTAAATTCTATCAAATTTTTGGTTCGTACCATGAGAATGTATCCCAATAATTGTCATGCTAAGAAAGTAATTAAATCGTGTACAAATCGACTATTCATAATTTTAAACCTCTAAACTACATATCGATCAAATTATTAATCATATATGTTCATTATTTTGTTGTCACTGCATATGATGAAGTAAGTCATTTAGAATATAAATGGCAGTTATTAGCAACTTAGTTTTCATCATTTTCTTCGACTTACTTGTGAAAAAAAAATTCCATCACCTTTTAGCCTGCGTTTTTTGAAACAGATATGCAATAATATTGCGGCCCTTTAAAAATTTGGTTTTTTCGATTACACTGACATTAAATTGGACAATAGCTTTAGCAATGCTTTTGAAACAAATATATGAGCGGAGTAAAATTTGCGAAATGATTTTTCGTGCTGATTACATCGGAGAATATTAAAATGAGGCATCGATGTGCGTACTCATAGCGTGTTTTTATGAGTGAATGAGATAAAGACATTTCTCTCAAATCCTAGTTTAAACTTTACCATTTAGATTGCTTTCTATTTTAGACATCACTACCATTTTCGTCCCTGGATTTACTTCGCTCACGCTAATAGCACTAGTAATAATGATAGGCGGGAGTAGTGGTTCTTGTTGTTTCTCTAAAATGGATATAAATTATCAGACAACGGTGTTGACGTCGAAATGGCGCCAAAGATATAATGAGTTAAGAGAACAAGTTCCTTCTCTTTTTCTTTGCCGAAAGAAGTGGAGTAGCTGTAAACAATTTTCGTGTTTCGTTCCATTTCCCGCTCACCTGTTTAATCTTTTATTCACTATTTACAGTTTGAGATTCGTTGGTTGTAAACAACCGGTCTTCTTTGTTCCATTTCTCTCTCTTGTATGGTTTCTCACTTATCGTGTATATAACTTGAATTTTCCACACTAACAAAATTTTAATTGATTAAGAAACAAATCTAGCTTATCGAAAAAATTAATGACCTAAAGTCACCGACTAACTGATGTTGGTAAAAGGTGCTTATTAAATTTAATCCGATACCTGAATAGAGGACTTTCCGTATTTTTGGGCTCTTTTTCATCTGTAACATGCGGGTAATGCCTATCCATTATTATCAAATGTGCTCTAACTGTAGATGTAGCATTAGCACTTTTACTGAAACTATTTTCGTGCGATCTGACTAACTGCTGACCAATGAGTATTTAATAGCATCAAACACACCATATAAATGATCAATGCAAATGGCGTGGATGAATTTTGGTACTTCCAAAGGATTTCGTAATGTTTTGCCACTGATTAATACCTGAAATTAATACTTAAACAAGCATTTTAATCTGGAATGACAGATCTTCACTACTTTTTATTTCGAACAGAGCATAGGATGGCTTGTTGAGATAAACATGATAGCAAGCCGTTCTGATTATAATAGTAGTCAGGATGACGGCACGAGACTGAATTATCTTTCAATTATTTTAACTCCTAAAAGCCATAAGCAGTTTCTTGGTTTTCTTACGCTCCTTATCTATAATGATTATGGCCAATATGTAATGCGGGCAAGGAAATTTGAAGGAATGTTTGTTGCCAGGTATGAGGAATTAGTTGAGACTAGCATTCCTTGTGCTGTTTGTAAAGGTACAAAGGAAAATATGAATGAGTTAAAAATGAGCGACTGATGTGAGATGATGCGTATTTTCGGAAAGGAATAGTGGTTGGCTTCGTAAAGGAGCGTTTAACGCACGTGAGGTAGTGTGACGAGGAAACCGACAACGTTTTCACCCGTGACTGCGACTTGTAGTTAAATGCATGCGTTTCATTTACCTGCCAGTCAAATTGCGCAAGCAAGTAAACATTCCTGCACGCAGCCGGTGCGTTGTGATATGATATGATTAGATGAGCTGTAATGTGATGAGCTGTAATGTGATGAGCTGTAATGTGATGAGCTGTAATGTGATGATGAGCTGTAATGATGATGGGAACGCATTTTTTGTACTTTGCCATGAAATGAAAACGGGCGAATTTGAAATATGCGAGGCATGCATGGAGGTTGGTAATTGCACTTGGCACGACACTGCTTGAATCAAGCAATGCAGCTTGCTTGATGATTCTTACGCCTGCTTCTCCCCTCTCATCTCGCTGATTCGTTGATGATGACGATAACAATGAAGTTGATGCTGATGATGATAACAAATGATAATGATGAGAACATCTCTGTTTCAGTTTAGATTGTTTGGCTCGCTGCCAACTTTATGTTTTATCCTGGCAGCAATGTAGAAAGCAGTAAAAGGCATCGAAAGTACCGAAGAGAAAAGTACGGGAGAGGAGAGGTGCAGGTAGTACTGCACACTGCGGTAAAGAAAGTAGGGCAGAGGAGCTTTCCCGCACGACAACAAAACGAGCTCTCTGTTTAATGGGCGGGGCCATTAACGAAGGTACAGAGAGCGAGAGGAGAAGGAGGGGTTGTATCATAGCTTTATTGAGAAGGGAAATTCTCTCGAGAGAACAGGATTGCATTAGTGGGAGAGCACGAAAGCAGCAGTCGGTCGCTGTTATTCTCGCTATTACTCCACCACCGTCACCATCGCTTTCATCATCATCAATGGGTACATGGCCGGTCACTTTTCTTCGGTCAGTTGTCCACTTGACCTCGATGACCTTTCAGTTTTCTTTGCCTCTCCATTTGGTATTTATTTTCTTTTTTCCCTCTTTTCTCTTCTTCTCTTCACTCTCCACCAAACTCTTCCTCTTGTTTTGATACTCATTTTCGTTTCGTCCCCTTTTCTGTCATCTTGTTTTATTCCATTTCTTCGCATCTCATCATTCACAACCTTCGTTTTGTTTTTCGAAAAATTCGAAGTAAACTCCCGCAATTTTATGTTATTGTGAAAGTGTTGGTGAAGGCAGTGATGATACTAACGATTATTATAATCATCATCATTATCATACCTTATTAAATTTTGTGTTTTCTCTCGCATTTTGACACTTCTCATTTTCACTCTGTTGTTGTTACTAGAACTCTATTAACAGACTTTTTACGCTAAAGCTTTCCTCACTACTTTATTTTATCTTTCGTTACATTATCTTAGCTTATTTTGCTGTACCTTGCTGTGATTCTTACACAGCGTATGTTGCTTCTATCAGATTTAAGTGCTGTATTCATTTTCTCAGACTATTTTATGTTTTTATTATTTGTTAATGGAGAACTTTACTTCCTCTCCCATAATTAATAAACTATTGTTTGTTGAGTTGACTTTATTCACGGAGAATCAGTCATTTCTTCTTTCACAAATATTTTCCAAACCCAAATTCTGAATTAGTTACTGTTACTGTAACTCTTGTAACTTTTTAATGGTCGCTCAAGACTGCCTGCAGCACAGGAAAACGCACTGCTGTTGACAAAATTTGAATAGTTTTGAAAAAAGATAATTTGCGCAATTAGTAGGATTTCAACAAATTTGCCAAGCCCGCATATATATCAAATTTCGAGTTTTTCTATTACCCCCTGGTGCATTCATCATCAGTAATTTTTAAAGATAAGAAAGCTTAAAACCTAAACGTGAATAGCAGTGCTAACCGTAAAGCTTTTACTAGTACAAAGCAATTGAAAAGTAATTGCTAGCTGATGCAGTTCGGTTGATTAGTGAATCATGTAGCAAATGAGGTTAATGAGTATGATGAACTTTGTTTAGAAATGTGTTGATGATAGTGTTTATGTATTGTTCGACCTCATAAATTAATCTTTATTTGAGATTTGTTGAACAACTGGACATTGCACGATTACTTTTTTTTACCTCCTCTTGCTGTTGTTCAATGGTGGTATCGGTCATTTGGCCTTTTTCAATCACCAACTGACGAGCTTAAATGGTAGAATTTTTTTTATTACTATTTATTATTGTTGATTTACAATATGCTCACATATATTTATTGTGTGCAACTGTTGAATACAGTTGCACTGAACTTTTCTCCTTAACATTTCACGAAAAGTAGACGTGTTGCTTTTGTGAAAAAAGATCAATATTATATCAGCTTGAATATATTGTCCTTATAAGCAGTGCTATTTCTCAGTCATATGGATTAAGCAGTTAACAAAACCTGTTATGGCATAGTGTCCCTGAGCATGATAGACTTGTATTGCAGACAACCGAATAATTAAAAGCTGAGAAGGGGAGCATCTGTGACATCTTTAATCTGTTCATTTTGTATCCCTTAGCTGTTAAAATGTTTTATGATTTCAGTGATGTTGCATTACTGCATGTTTGTTTATGAATTCATTTGAGTATTTTATTGTCTGCCTTTTAATCTGCATGTGTCAGTCATAATATTTTTACTTTCGAGGTCAGAAGGTCAGAAAACTGACTGCATTACACATTGCTCGTTGCAAACTCAAATTTTTGGTCATTTTCTTCTTTCAATAGAAAAGTGGTTTTGGTTTATGATCGTGAATTCGAAAAGATGAATGCTTTCAATTATTGTTTGTTATTGTTGCTTGCAAAGTAGTAAGCAATTAGGGCCTCAGTTCTTTGTGCATTTGTTTTGGAACATATTATTTCATTTTGAAAATTGAATGATATATGTTTCCACCGATTTAGTCATTTTTTATGGATCTGTTTACCTCTTTTCTCCAAGTAACGAGTATAAATAATAACAATCGTGTTCATGGGTATCATTTATGTTTTTGCAGCCATTACAATTTACTTCTATGGACAGTTCAGGAATAATACCAGCAGTAGTAATTGCTGATACTGCTACTACTACTACTGCTAGTACTACTACTAATGATGATACTACTAATAATGATACAACTACTACGGAAGAAACTGCAGTTGCTCTCGCTGCTAGCACTACTGGTAATAATTCTGCGGAAGAACCATTAGCAAAATTTACCAAATGTAGTGCCCGACGATGTTTATTTGGCCGTCCTGATCCTAAGAATATTGACGGATGGTTGAAAGAAGAACTGGGGAAAATTCAACGTGAACAGCAGCTCAAATGGGGTTTTTCGTTTAAAACAGAGAGTATAATCGAAAGGAGTATGAAGTCAAACTGGGTTCTGATTCCTGTTCCAGCAGATTCGGTAAATATTTTTGCGTCGCTTCATGTTGCGTGCTATTCTTCTAATTTGCAATTCAGTATAGGAATTTTTATATTTCGATTACCCATCAGTAGTTGTAGTTTGCATTGTCTTTACCTGTAATTGACTACTCTGCATCATGGAAATTACCACTGATGCTTCTTCTATACTTTTTTTTTCAAATTCACGATATTTCAGGTTCCCGAATTTTATCGATCATCATATTATCATTCATCTAGTCCATGTACTGCATGTGAACTTGAAAATTGCATTCCATGCTGTAGTAACAGTATCAGAGATGAGTGTAATGGAGAAAATACAACTTCTGCTTTGATAGTATCATCCCAACATTGTTCTGATACTGAACTACCGGTCTTGCCAATTGTCAATAATGCGAGTGTGCCAAAATGCAAGCAACATGTAACTAAGAAGCAGACTAAATTAACCGGTTGGTTTTTGAAACTTTTAGTGATTGCAAAAAATTATTACGAATAAATTTACAGAAGGCTCTTTGTAGTTGTGTGATGTCAATATAAGTTATCAGAAAATATATGTTGGAAACATTCTCAAATTTTTTTTCTCACGAAATCTTTATATTTGTATTGGTTAATATCGTTGTGTTAGGGTTGTTTATATAAAGTCTGCGTAGTTAAACATTGGTTGGCAAAGTTTGTTGACATTTTGATTTCCATTTCGAGTAGACCAATAACTTCCCTCCTTAAAGAGGTGTCAGTCTAATAAAGTTGCTGATGAAGAGAACGTGTGAACATCTATAGCGTAAATAGTACTGTTCTTTGTGAATTATAGTTTTATTTCATCAGAAAACGCTTTACATAACTCTTCATTCTTTTTCCTATCCATTTATTTGCAGCATTTATGAAAGTCGATTCACGTAAACGATTGCGCCATCAAGCGAAAAAATCATTATCACCGTCGAAATCAATACGTTTGATGGGTCATTATAGATCTTTCATGTAGATTATCAATTCGAAAAGGTCATGAGCCGATAAGGAAGCCATCATCAATGCTGAAATGAAATTTAGGATGGAATGGATAATTCCATCTACAGCTAAAATCGTAGCTCTTCGGGAAACGGTGTCATTTTTATTTTTTCTTTCTGGTTCCAATATTACTGTGATATGTCAAGTTTTTAACTAGAGACTACTTATAAATTAGCTTATCTTTATATTATTGGAAACTAACAAATTTTCTCAACACTTTTAATCACTGTCGTTGCCTACAATTGTGATGATCTGGCACTTGTCCTGTAATCATTCTAAGCATTGTGTTACGCAGTTTTTTATATATTTGTTTGCGTTGCAATATTGAACAACTCATTTTTGAATGTTATACATGTCAAGTAATTAAATGTACTTAATAGAGAATGGAACAATTCTGGAGCATAGCTGTCTATTTGTTTATTTTTCTGTTAGTTGTACGCTCGTGGTCTAAGTTGCCAAAATGTGTGCATTGTTCTTATGAAGAGTGCGTTTAAGATTGCACATACTTTTTGTTGAACTGTCTTGTAGTACTTTTTGTTAAACAATTTTCTGGATAACTTTTTTGTTTAGAAAAGTTTATATGTTCATTAATGTATGTGTGTGTGCGGGTTGTAGCTGTAAAATTGGGATTAGAGGTGAACAAGGAAAATTGATATTTAATAAGTATTGTGATTGTAATTGTCTCGTCATCAAATAAATATTCAAGAGTCTTTCTGATTTACAACTTTTTTATTATATATAAAATGCACGTGTCTGTCTGCAATGCCAAAAATCTCACAGAGACTGTGGGGTAAGTCTTACTTCAAATAGATCTGATAATGTGAGTGGAAAAGGATTTCAAACTTTACACATTGGTTTAGCTTCAGCAACTGAGAAGTTAGTGAGTCAAGGTTTCAAGAATTTTCCGTGGACCTGAATGTTTTTTGAAATATCGACGAAGTGAAGTGTGCAGTTCTCTGACAATCCTTATTCACATAGTACTTTTGAGGACCTTGAAATAGGATGATCTGATCATCACTAAAAAGATTATGAAGGTCAAGGTAAGATTGTCTCACGCACTCTTCATTCATTGTAGCGATATATATATCGCTACAATGAATGAGTATATATATATATATATATATA